GCGCGTGGGTTGCGCATTGTGAAGGAGTCTAGCCTCCTATAGATGTTGCCAAATTGGATATTCCACGCGTGATTTGCAGACTTCAACGTGTGATGCGTGGGTAGCACTGTTACCTATTCGAAAATATTTACCTAAAACAGGAAATAAAATCAAAATCCATGTATTTTGGTGTCCTTTTAATGAGAAAGTATAGATGATATCAGTTTAAGGAAAATTTCTGAGGAGGCTCAGCCTCCGTTGCCTCCTGTGAGAATTCGCCACTGCTAATATTCCGAAATATGAATCTACGATTTGGTCGAATTTTCACCAGATTCGGACCAGTATTGAAAAAGTTACAGGGCGATCAATTTTGCAACATTTTTTGCCTGCCAGTTTTTTTAGTGGTGAGTGTATGAAAGATATTTGCTCAAACGGAAACGCAACGACACCGGTGTAATTTTAGACTACTTCAAATATCATCCTGTAGAATGTAGATTGTTAATCTGGAATATTTGTAGTCTTTGATCTGATGAGTTACTGAAAGATCGGGCTAGCCAACTGTGGGATCCATGGATAATTCGATTTTGTTCTAAAATGTTCTATCCGTCATTCGGTTGCCCCTTCCGAGCAACCCTCAGAAGTCTTCAAGAGACTTGTGCGAGCAAGGGATGACGGGGTTCTTACCTTTTAACGTGTGATCCCAAATACTTTCTTGGGTCATCAGCAAAATTTCTGCAGTCCTTTGGATTTGAACCTACGACCGGCAAGCTTATCGGCCAATATTTTCGACCACGACGTTTATTTCGTTGGATCACTTGATTCTCAGTTCAATATGATTTTCTTCATTACTCCTGGTGAATAATTAATTCGCAAAATGGCTGAAGCCTCGGGATATATTCTTGGTCCCTAGGTTATAATGATATTCTTTACTACCTTGGTGTATAAATAACTATTATCTACTCACTGCATCGAAACTAAGCGTTTGCTCTCTCATTTAAGGACACAAACCTGTAAATTCACTCCCACGGGAGGAAAACAAAATTATCTTCTGTAGGAGGTAAAATAAATTGCTTCCTTGTAAAGATAAGATTCATGTTTGAAACAAATAATTTCATTTTTGAACTCCAATGATTTCATACACGTCCTCATATTCCAAACTTACTTAATCGAAATTCTAAATGAAATGCAATTACACAATAAACAAATTCAATGTAACAGAAGTGTCAATGTCAAAATGATTTTCGTTCAGATTCGTCTGTAACCTTAGATCATATAAAAAATTGATTTGGAGAGATAGGCCGCTTGAAGTACAGGATGATCAGTTAAGGGTAGCGAGCGGCCATATCTCATGAGATATTGGTCGTATAGATGTGAGAAAAAAAACATGATAAAAGTCGCCAAGACTACATTTTTTGTCTGAAACGTTTCGTTCAATTCATCAAAATAAAGCGGTGGGGAAAGTTCAATTGTTTTTTTAAATACACCAAGATTTCTCCCGTTTATTTTGACCGATTTTATCAAACTTGGGCTCATATGAAAGAGCATAATTTTCCCTACAAAACGCTCATTTGGTTTTGGATTTTTGACTCTTGCTGTTTCCGCTAGATGTCGTTAACTGAAATGTTAGCAAATTTTTTAGTTTCTTGCAAAAAAAAAACAAATGTAATGGTATAATAATTTTCATATGTTTTGAAAGAGGATGAATTTTTTTTTTATTTGATGAACATAATTTATCATCTATCTTCTTTTGAACCGTTGATATTGACCAAAATATAATTTTATTACTTTTAAAAATGGCACGATACTGTTTTTTATCAAAATAAAAATCAGTTTTGTAATCTCTTATTAGTTGCTAACAAAAAAAAACCTCTTGACTTTTTTTCGTTAAACAAACGGTTTTGGATTGAAAAAATAAAATTGGTTTACATGGGGCGCCCATATCTCGAAACACTAATTTACAGTATGTAAACCTATTTTTCAATCCAAAACCGTTTGTCTAACGAAAAAAAGTCAAGATGTTCTTTTTGTTAGCAGCTAATGAGAAATTACAAAACTGATTTTTATTTTGATAAAAAACAGTAGCGTACCATTTTTTAATGTAATAAAATCATATTTTGGTCAATATCAACGGTTCAAAGAAAGGTAGATGATAAATTATTTTCATTAAATTCAAGAGAAATGCATCCTCTTTCAGAACATATGAAAATAAATATACCGTTACTTTTCTTTTTTTTTTTTAACTCAGTTATATGGAATCCCAACACCAGTGTATACTCTGAAATGATAGAAAAAGTACAAAGAAAATTTCTGAGAAACCTTCACTACAGGAAACATAAAGAATCTGCTTTTATGATCTCATACAGAAATCAAACTCATGGAATTTGAGCAAAGAACACTAGAGTCCCGAAGAGATATCAATGATGTGCTGTTTGTTTCAGACATATTCAGTAATAAACTGAATGTACCTGATCTACTTACTCAAATAAACATTCATGTACCTGAAGTAAAACTACGGAGAAGAAAAAATATTTTTTTCTACATTGATGTTGAATCTTGCTCACCTTTTAGAAAATGTCAAAGAGCTGTAAATGATTATAACTGTGATATAGATATTTTTACATTTAGTAGTAGCGAAATAAAATGCTGTTCTCCACCTCTTTAATATCCTCAAAATTCTTAGTTATAGGCTATATATGTTCAATATTTTTGAAAAAGTTTGTCATGAACGTCTTGATTTTATATCTTAACTCAACTGTTTTCCCAAAACTTGAGTGTATTTTAATCTTTCTGTGTAGTGTATTTCTCTCTCTTTTTTTGTGAATAGTGTATTTACTGTAGGATAGGAACCGAGATAGGAACTGTCTGTCTGTAATTGGGCCATGGCCTGTTGATTTGGCAGTATAAATAAAATGATATATATATATAAAATTTTGCACATTTCAGTTAGCGCCATCTAGCGGCGACAGCAAAAGTCAAAAATTCAAAACCATATGAGCATTTTGTAGGGCGAGTTATGCTCTTTCATATGAGCCTAAGTTTGCTAAAATCGGTAGAAATAAACGGGAGAAATCTTGGTTTCTTTCAAAAAACAATTGGACTTCCCCCACCGCTTTATTTTGATAGGTAGAACGAAACGTTTCAGACAAAAAATGTAGGGAAATGATCAGTAAATATGAAAATGATATCATCGATATACTTTCATCGGAAAAAACCTATAAAAATCCCATTTTTCTACTTGGTGTTGGTTGTTACGCTCTCTACCGGACGTTTGACAAACTCGAAAATAATTTTCAGCAATTTCTTTTGGCGACTTTTATCATGATTATTATTTTTCAAATCTATACGACCAATATCTTATGAGATATGGCCGCTCGCTACCCTTAACTGATCATTCTGTACAATTTTTAAGAACGACGCTCTCAAATATATGCGTTCGTGGATAAAATCATATCTTGGGAGCAAAAGTTCATTTCCTCCCCCGCGTCGGGCATCAAACTTCACACACAGGATGAAATGGAGCTCTTAATTCGTTCAATAACTTCTTATTTGTATACTATTTTCCTAGGATCATCCTCAGTTTCTTTATATTCCTTTCTTAATTCATTTTTACCTTATTCTTCCGTCCTTTTTATTTCTTCTTCACTATTAGTTTTGATTATGATTACTCCGTTTCTTCCTCTCAAACTTGGGATGGATGCTTTTGCATCAGCAGGATTGACTTTTTCTTGAACCTTTTCCTTACTTAGTTTACTGATCTGCGAATTAATTGGTCCAAATAATAATGCTGGTATATTTTCAGGGATTGGTTCTTAACGATATCGGAGTATCTTCTGTTCAGGTTAAAATCCTGTCTAAAATTTGCTTCTTGATTTATTTACGATTTCTTGAATTTTTCGTCAATTCATTAAATTTATTTTTATAGATTCATTTTCTATCATATTTTGAATTGACTCGGCCGTTACTTGATGGAAATCCATGGCAAATGTAAAAACTTCACAAACGATAAGATTTCCACAAAATTCTTAACATGTTTCGCTAACACATTTAAGTAAAATGTCAACACACAACAAACTCAAAAATTTTGACATTTTACTTAACGATCAATTAGACCTCAATATAGTTCACCACTGTTGAATTTGTTTTCTTAGTAGGTAACAATATTTATTTGCTATCAACCCTTACAAGTTAATCCGGTACCGTAATTTAATGTAGATATTGTGCCTAATTTCCGAAAATGGAGGTTTATCGATCCTGTCCACAGGTAATTAATCCTTCATGTTGTGAAAGTAGAATATATAAAAGTCAAGCAAGCCAACGTTGGTTTAGTTCATTGTACCAGTATATCACCTGACGAAGCTACTGTGTTAGCGAAACATGTTATGTGTATAAGAATTTTGTGGAAATCTTATCGTTTGTGAAGTTTTTACATTTTCTATCATATTGTTCTCAACTTTTTTCATTTTCAGTGTTTCATCGTTTCGCTCATTTTCTTTATAATTTTGCGTATTAAATTGTTTTCATCTTTGGAATTACTATTTATTAGAGTATTTGGGAATTCAATATTGCAACTGCTGTATTTCCATTCAGTTTTCAATTTCTTGATTCATCTCTTTTTTCTTTGAGAATTTAAAATAATTCAAACATAATAATACACTTTTCACTGAATATGAATTTTCATTAAAGGATTGCAGACATTACCCACAATTTTCGCTTTTTCCTCATTATGGTTGAATTTGAGTTTTCTTTGCTTATTTTGAAACCTTGAATTGTTTTCTATACACCTCGAATTTATCATCAAAGAGGTATTGTAATGGAATATAGTTCTCTTCATCTGATGTTGAATTTGATGAACTTCAGATTTTTATTCAATTTTCTGATTTTGACACTCTTTCCTTTTTTGCTGTCATTTTTATTTTAATTACTTTTCATAGTTATAGAAATCGTATCTCATCACCAAAGTATTTCCGTTTCCCAATGGAACATCGTGGAATATTCTTCTGACAACTAAGTATTTCTTTCAGATAAAAACCATGATGCAGTGGACCTGGACATAAGACACTATGTTCAATTCAAAATAATTTCTGGAGGATTACGAAGTGATACTTCTTTGATAGGAGGCATTGTTTGTAGCAAAAATGTTGCTCATAAACGAATGTCAACAGACATACAGAATCCACGAATTCTACTACTCCAATGTTCTATTGTGTATCAAAGAACAGAAGGAAGGTTGTTGTCTTTAGAACCTGTTTTAATGCAAGTGAGTTGTAGAACAATCCATATAAAAAAGTGAATATCATGTAATTTAAATCCTTGAAAGTAATAACAAGAATATGCAACCATGGCTTGAACTATTTTGGATAAAGGAAGTTTGATTTCATCAATGAATTAATTCTACGGTCAATCAGTAATTATATATTGCATAATATGGTTGTGTCCGAAGGTGATTCCAACACAGACATGATACTAATCACATTTTTAACCAGTACATCTACATTTTGTTTGTTCTGAAGTTCAATCAGTTCTCGATCTGTTGATATTAGGTACCAAAAATTATTGCTGTGAATTGAAAGAGGAGATATCAAATGACATATAATAGTCCGGCAGATAAGTGGAATTATTGTAAGAATTGCGCATTTAATGATAGAAGCAATCAATTTGGTCCACATACTACATATTATTATGTAGAAATTTGGATATGAGGTCATCTTTGATTTCTTCATTGTTTCTTTGAAACATGAAATCTCTACATGGTGTTTCCCGACACTGCGCAAAATTTCGGAATATTCAAGAGGATCCCAAATGAAGAAACTTTTTTTTCTCAACTAGAAGGCTATATGGAATAGGTCATTATGCTTATTCATTACCCTATTACTATTCTTAAATATTGTCACAAACTGTAGGCGGGGGTTGCCTAAGTTGTTTTCTAGATCCATTAGAGAATGAACTTTTGAAAGTGATAATGATGAAGGATACTCCGAAAGGTTTCAACAAAACATATACACACATTTATTCTTGGCAATACATAGATAGATATATAGATTTATTCAGATATAGAGGATATTTACAATGTATAGTACTTAGTATAGTAATAATAATAATAATAATAATTTTTATTTTCCAATGGACACGATATACATGTATAGGAATAGTCAAAAAATAGTCAAATATACCTGACACAGGCACTAATAAATATAGGAAGTGATAAAATATTGTAGAACATAATATAAAGGAGCAATACAAAAAGATATACAATAAAGAGAAAGATACAAAAATTATAAGTACATAGTGGTTGAGATGAACTAACATGAATGAAATGAATAAAATGAAAACATAGTAGTTGTCAATAAGGTTTTGAGATACATTCTTTTGATCCTGAAAACAATTGAATATATTGTTTGTTAATTCAAACACGGCTTGTTCAGTTGATAAATTCGCTCTGAATCCATACTGAGAATCAGAAAGAATATTATTGTTGTCACAAAAATTTACTATTCTGCTTTTCAAACACTTTTCAAATATTTTAGCAAAGTTATTGATTACTGTTATGGGCCTATAGTTGTTCGTTTTTCGTTTGTCTCCAGATTTGTGAACTGGGGTTGTGATAGATTCTTTAAATGCAGAAGGTATTTTTCCAGACAAAAAAAGGATGTTGTTTAAGTTAAGTTAGCTTCCAATCTGATTTTTGAGACCTTTGAAGGTTGAGTGGAAGAACAAGGCAATAGTAGGTTTACCTACTATATGAATTGAACTTCGCCTTTCATTTTCAGTCCATATTATCTACTTATAAAACATGTATGTCAATATTGTACAGTACTGAAAATCATAAAGCCGTTTATTATTATTATCATTATTATTATTATTATTTCTTCATCCGTACGACATTCTCTTTCATTATCATCAAGTATGTGGAAGTGTGAACTATAATGTTGATTTTCATTAGTTATATCATCTATATTCTTCCTGATTTTTTATAGTTATTTCCAGATTCAATTATTTTAAATTTATAATAATCGTTTTTCGTAGTTCTGATCAGGGTACAGAGATAATTTCTATAGTATTTGTACTCATTCTTATGGTCTTCTGTGGGTGATCTGAATGAATAACAATGAAATCAAAACTCAACTCAACCTATATATACAAATTAACTGGCATTTCTTGGAGCCTGAGAAGGGCATCTTGTGTTCTGCCCGAACTCCAAAGATTCGGGCACAGTGGCAACTTTTCAAACTAACAATTGATAGAACTTAAACTTCCCTGACTCGTACTCAAAAAAACAAGACTAGAACTCGAAGTGTCGGTCTGCTTAACTAATTTGATGTTAGTAATATGTGTTATGATTTTGATTGAACATATGTTCGGCTACACACGAGTTATCTAACCTATCATATTTTAAATGTGCTATGTGTTCTTTGAATCTTGTTTTATCACAATCATTACAACTTATTTCGTATATTCCCGACTTTTCAAGTGGGTCCACTTTATCTTTCGGATTGCCTAATAAATTGCCTAATTTTGACCCAGACTGATAAACGCTTTCAAAACCTAAGTCTTTGAAAACCTTATCAAGTCCCTTCGTATACTTGGAATTGAACGGGATTGGGATTCTTGTAGAGTTACCTTTCTTAGATGTACGAAATTCTACGACTTTAGAAGTGGATAAAAAGAACTAGAAGAATCCCAATCCCGTTCAATCCCAAGTTTACGAAGGGGATAAGGTCTTCAAAGACTTAGGTTTTGAAAGCGTTTATCAGCCTGGGTCAAAATTAGGCAATCCGAAAGATAAAGTGGACACACTGGAAAACTCGGGAATATACGAAATAAGTTGTAATGATTGTGATAAAACATATATAGGCCAAACCAGCCGACCCATAAAAACAAGGTTCAAAGAACACATATCACATTCTAAATATGGTAGGTTAGATAAATCGTGTGTAGCCAAACATATGTTCAATCACAATCATAACACACTTATTACTTACCTCAAATTAGTTGAGCAAGTTAATAGTATTAGAAAATTAGACGCATATGAAAGCTTACAGATATTTAAGAATAGTAATAGAGTAATGAATAAGGATAATGGACCTATTCCATATAGCCCTCTATACAGGCTGATTCACGGTGGATGGCACATTAGACGTGTCTGGTGAACCAGACAACGGATCATTTTGAAAATTCAATGGAAGGCTCATTCGGACATTCTCTAGCCAACCAAAATATTTTCGACAATGCGGTGTTGCCGCTTCTATTAGAAAGCAGTAGCAACTTTGATTTTTCAAATGGAACACTCTGTATTTTATTGCATTTTTAGATTCTCCCTGAAGAGCAGATTTCATCGATGTATCACACTTGGGGTCTAGCGGAAATGATTACAGAGATATAGGGTGTGAAAAATCGACATTTTTCAACTTTAGGATTTTTTTGTGTCGAAACTATTCATCATTGGTCAAAACGGCTCACATGTCCCTATCTCAACTTTTGATTAACTATACACTGATATTTAATTGGGACATATACCGGGTGATCAAGATTCTGAATTCTGCACCACCCTGTATTTGTTTCAATTAAATGTTAGTAGATAGTTGATCAAAAGTTGGGATAGGGACATGTGAGCCGTTTTGACCAATAATGCATAGTTTCGACAAAAAAAATTCCTAAAGTTGAAAAATGTCGATTTTTCACACCCTATATCTCTGTAATCATTTCCGCTAGACCCTAAGTGTGATACATCGATGAAATCAGCTCTTCAAGGAGAATCTAAAAATGCAATAAAATACAGAGTGTTCCATTTGAACAATCAAAGTTGCTACTGCTTTCTAATAGAAGCGGCAACACCGCATTGTCGAAAATATTTTAGTTGGCTAGAGAATGTCCGAATATGCCCTCCATTGAATTTTCAAAATGATCCGTTGTCTGGTTCACCAGAAACGTCTAATGTGCCATCCACCGTGAATCAGCCTGTATATTGTAGTAATATAGAAATTAAGATTAACATGTGAACTCAACCATGACAAACATTAACTTAACGGTTAATATTTTTCACGGTTGGGTGAACATATACCTAGAATATAAGCAGTACACTAGAATAGGGTATTTAGTTTTATTCTTCTCCTGAAGTTAGCGAAACACGTGTCGAGTCATTCGAAAAATCGGTTTGGTTAGTGGTAGAACAGTGTAGTGTATCATTAAATTTGAAATACCTACCTTGAAGCTCAGCCGTTCTCAATGATAGGACATGTAAGGTATATAAAAGAGGTCCCAAAACTGAACCCTGTGGTGCTCCTGATTTCGTATTATCAATTTGGCTAGAAGTCCCATTCATCATTGTGAATTGTTGTCTGTTTAGGAGGTATGATTTCATCAGAGACAGGACTCTTCCTCTTATTTCCATGTTTTCCAATTTGTTGAGTAAGCCTTGGTGATCCACTACATCAAATGCTTTTCGTACATCAACAAAGACTGATAGTACAAAGTTTTTATCATCTAGAGCAGAGGAGATGTAATTGACAAAGATCATTATGGTGATCATAGTATTGGTATGTTCCTGAAAACCATATTGATATTTATCGAATTCAACAAAATCAGTGATATAATCAATCATACGCTTTTTTATAATTCTCTATAATTTTTGATATAATACTGTAGTTGTCAGTTTCATTATTTGGTCTCTTGAGGGTTATTGATCTTTAGTATTTACGTTATCGTAGCCTGGTGCAGAATTCCTATTTAATTCATGTAATTTCTCTTCAACTTTCCTGTGCCCTCGTTTTTGTAAGATACATCGAGTTATTGCTATAGATTTCCTCAAAATCAGTTACAGTTTCTGCTTGTGTATCCATATAATCTATTATCTGTCCAATATTAACGAAATATTTATTGAACTGTTTAGCAATGTCTTCCTCATTCTCCAAGTATGACCTTCGCATTCAAAATTAGTTATCTGTGAGTCTTTTTGATTCTTGTCTTTTATCAAACTCTAAATGAGGTCTCATTGTTTTTTTTAAGGTGGTTCCGGTTTCGTCCCATTTTTTGTTGAAATGGTAATGTTAATTGTTTCTTTTCTACAACGATTTTTCGTTTTCTGAATTGTCTTTCCAGGCCTAGTTTAAGAGAGTTTTTCATTGGAATAATTCATATCGTCTTTTCGTGAAATTGAGAAATTATGTTCTTATCCAGTCTTTATTCTCCTTGTGGTTCCACTTATATCTAAATGCAGATTCTTTTTTGCATACTTGTATTGCTGATATCAGTTTTTCATAG